AACTTTGGTGTTGGAGAAGACTCCTGAGAATACCATGGACAGCCAAGAAAACAAACAAATGAATCAACCCAGAGTTCTTATCGAGGTACAAATGAGCAGGCTGAAATGATTTTACTTTGGACACATTATGTGAAGACCTAGCTCTCTGGAGAAGGCTCTAAAGCTGGAAAAGGTGGAAGAGAAGAGGAGGATGACCAGAGCAAGGTGACGCCATTATAGTGGCCATGAATCCACTGTTGGGAGACCTGAAGACCAGGTTAGGGACAGAATGTCATGGGAGAAAATCTATCTGCTGTATGTGGTTGCTAAGAGTTGACACTGACTTGACACATAATCAATTTTCAATACTAGAAGAGTATTGAATTGTCCTACAATGCTATTCTCAGAGGACAAATGGCAAGAAGAGAAGAGCAAAAAGCAGGTGCTGTGGCAGAAGTATAGTTTTAATCTGTTCAAATATTTGCCTGTCCAGGTAGATATTGCTGGGTATAGCTGTGAGTTACTACAACTTTTAGCTACACAATTTCCTTCTCAAGCTTGAGAACTCAGAGAAACCATCATGCGATAGCTATATTTACACACACACACACAAAAGGTGGATCTTTCAAATCTATATCTCTTGCAGCATAAACAAGCCTGCAGTGCTCGATGTCTGTTAAAATCCATTTCAAAATATTACTCAGTTGAAAATGACATTTAATAGTCATGTATTATATGCATGTTTTTGCATATAAAAAGATGTTTGGAAGAGTAAACCAAAATGTGTTATTTGAGAAACATGTACAAAAGAATCCACTTTAGAAAAAAATATGAATAAAGATAAATGTGGCCTTTCCTTTCAATTTGTTTCTGCTTTAATAAAAATATGATATTTGGACTGAGCTAGTTGGATGAAAGGTGGGAATCCCAAACCTACCTCCCAGAAGTCCTGCCTTAGTGTAGTAGATTAGTAGCTCCTGCTGCAAGCCCTTATCTTCCAATGGGTTGCCTTTACTTAATATACCCCCTCTTAAGCCTGGCATATGAGGCAGATATGGATCTCACAGCCTATAGCCTTACTGGCAAATAGCAGAAAAATAAAGCTGATAAAAATGAAGTAAGTTCTATAATGCCACCTCCTGGCTCTATATCATGAGGCATAAGACTATGATGGAAACTACACACACACACACACACACACACACACACCTCTTCTTTGGAGATAGAACAATTTCACAAGCAATAAATAAAGATACTTTATTTTTTAAAATAAGTAAAAAGAGAAAATGCAAAAAAAATTTTTTGCTGCTTTAAGTAGTCACTGGTAAAGCAATCAGCTGCAAAGAAGAAAAATATACAGAGATGTTCAAAACAGAGAAAGTGGTTTGAAACGGTTCTCTTGAAAGGAAAAAAATAAAGGATAATACAAGATGGGAGCAGATCAGAAGCTAGGATAGGTCTGCTACTAATATAAGAGCCTTGTATGCATCAAACATACAGTAACTGACCTTCCACAGCTATAATAAACATAATAGGCAATGAAAACATCTTAAAAAACACATTGAAGATAAATATCCCTAGCACAATACTAACTAGACATTTACTTATGTCTACCCAAGTAACAATTCCTTGAATCAGTAGTTCCTGCCTGATTGACTTTTATCCAGGCTTGCTTTTTGGTTTTCTAGAAATCCTTATCTTTAATTGGGGGATGAGGGGGCACCATCAAAGCCTACTCATTTAGCTCCTCCAGGGATTCTGTTCTTTCCCTTTCTAAAAAAGATAAGGCATTTTTCTTTCTGGCAGAATTGGGGAAGGGAATGGCCATCTAGGATGAGAAACAACAGTCTGGAGCATTTTGAAGTCAGTGAACATGGATGTGGATGTGCTTGTCTGACCATTCTTTACAATACTGAGATACATTATTTGACTCTTCACGTCATTCATTCTCAAGTTCAATTCTATCAGACTGCCAGAGTTTGTTTTATTGCCATATTTTCCTGCATGTGTTTTTCAGGTTCCCCCAAAGGAACCACACATTCCTAGTTACTCAAGGTTACTCAATGACAGATTTGCAAATGCAAATGTTTTAAGAAGGAACATAGAGACATGGTGTTTCTATTTTGATGGGCAAATCTGAATTTGATGTGAACTGAGAATGAGGAGGATTTAGGGAAATCAGTTGAAAAAAAGTAAAATATCTAAAAGCAATTTGAAGAGATGAGGATGTTTTGGTATCACAAAATAGGGCAGGACAGGGCCAATTGAATGTTTTTGCAGCTGTCCAATGAAAATTGCTTTTCGTTTATAATCTCCTGTGGTCCAAGGATATCAAAATCTAGAAATGCTACATATCATGCCAGAAATAATTTCCCTTGTGGTCTCTGTTGATCTATATCTATACAGGATCTGATTTGGAAGGAATCTGCCTTTCAAAACAGGAGATATGCTCATTCTGGCAAATAATTCCCTGGGAAATTTAAATGGGGGAAAAATATTTGAGAAGTGTTCTTTTTATTGTATAGTTTCATGCTGCCTCTTCAGGAATTTAGGTTCTGCAGTTAAAAAAAAAAACAAACTGATTTGAGCACTAGAAAATTATAGCTGGTGATGCCACAAATTCACATAGTTGGAAGCAACTTCAAAGGTTTTTCAGTCAACGTTCTGCTGATTAGAAAATTAGTCCCTTTATTTGTACTTACTTTGCATAGAATTGTTTATTAGCAACAGAGAAAGTAGAAAAAATAGGATGCCCAGAAAATAAGAGGGTGATCTCTGTGAAATGGCAATGGAGATCATGACCTTAGGAAGAAGCATTTAGAAATACAAAAATGTGACCTAAAATGTGCTTTAAAAAAAATGTGTGCACTCAACATTGTACTAAGTTAGAAATATCTAATTCTAATGGATTCTGTGGCTGCCCATTTTTAGAAAGTTCTTTGTAAGCCCTTTCTAATTGTCTAAATCAGTAGTAATACATACTCCTGAAGTAACTCCTTGATTTTTCCTTTTAGACCTATCCCTCCTCCCTAACCATGCTGGATTTGCTTCATGTAGCTCGTGACATTGCTTGCGGCTGTCAGTATTTGGAAGAAAATCACTTCATTCACAGGTTAGTAGGAGAAGTATATGTCCTTGAGAGACCATTCTCTATGTCCGGTGTGTGGCTGACTTGCATCAGGCTAAGTATACAAGCGACCTACTGGCAAGCATGGTTGTATACTACCACCCCCTAGAGGTGCACTGCTTTGAACATAAAAAATATGAACATAATAAGGCATTATGCTTTTTAAATTTATTGAATAGATTTATATTCTGCCTTTCCTTCAGGAGCTCACGATGGCCTACACAGAAGTTGCTCTTTTTCAAAGCAAGTTTGAAGTCTTGTACTCCTGGATTTTCTATCTTGGCTTTCTGATATTAATTATTGAACACATTCATTTTTCATGAGTTTTGTCTTTAGTTTTCTAGTGAGTTAACAGCTGCTCTGTCTAGAATACCAATTCAAAGCCTTATTTGAATGTTATTAATTAATTTTTAAAATAGCCAATTGTTCTTTCTCTAGAGACATTGCTGCTCGAAATTGCCTCCTTACTTGTAAAGGTCCTGGAAGAATAGCTAAAATTGGAGATTTTGGGATGGCCCGGGACATATACAGGTAAGAAATGTAACTTATTATATAAGTTATATAAGGGAATATCTAGCATTCCTTTATATCAGTGTTTCTCAACCTTGGCAGCTTGAAGATGTGTGGACTTCAACTCCCAGAATTTCCCAGCCAGCCATCCTGGCTAGGGAATTCTGGGTGTTGAAGTCCACACATCTTCAAATTGCCAAGGTTAAGAAACACTTTATATATAATATATATAAAGGAATGTAGGCTTCCCCAGGATTTATTTCACTGTATGCATGAGTCTTTTTCAGATGTTTACATTTTGATGTACTCTTCAAATGCCACCTTAGTACCTAAACTATTATGTTCACTCTGTGACATTTCCCTTGCTTACTTTCATTGTTATTTCATCAGCCGCTCTTGGTATTGTATTGGCAGCAGAATCCTCACCAACCTTGTTTTCTCCACTTTTCCCACACTGAGCAGCAGGATCTTATCCTGAAGCTTTATCCTCCTTGGTGTTGACCTGACCTATACGCTCCTCCACTACTGTCTCTGTTTCCTGCATATAAAAGTAGGGATGAGGGTCAGGAGAATGTAATTACTCACTCTGGAATTTCTCCAGGGCACCAGGATTAATGATTCTGCAGTTGCTAAACAGGAAGACTTTAATGACATACAGTACATCTTATCTATAATGCACCATTGCTGTCCTCACAGTGCCCTCTAATGTCAGGCTGGAGAATTACTTCACCACTTGATTCTGTATAGATTCTGACAACAAACTAAAATGTATTGTCGAAGGCTTTCACAGCCGGCATACGATGGCTGGTGTGGGTCTTCCGGGCTGTGTGGCCGTGGTCTTGAAGTCTTGTTTCCTAAC